CTATTTGTTATGTAAAGACTAAGGGCAGATCTGTCCTTTCCATGTAATGAGCATAACCTATAAATATTGATTAAAGTGGCGGCGGCAGAACATCAAGCTTCTGCTGCTCCTTTTTCAACTCTTGTGTTCTACTACTTCTCTTCCCTCTTCCTCCTTTTTCTCTTTACCTTTCTTCTTATTTTCGAACCTGAAATCCATTAGGGTTCAAGACTGATAACAATCCTGAACTTCTACTAAATTCAAAGGATATTTAAGTCTCTTAAACAACTAGGTCTCTCCAACAAACCCCTAATGGAGCACAAGTCTTTCCAAAATCTCTTCTTTCCTTGTACAAGTTCAACCTATAGACATTTATCACATACAAACCCATAGTCTACATTCCTCAAGTTGACTGAAAATACAAAACACCCAATAAATTCCTTTATAAAGATGATTTTTCATTGATGCTCCCCAAGAGGGATCTACTACCCAACAAACTGTTTTTAGGGGAAAAATACCCAACTAACATTTTGAAATTGTCAAATACACCTAACCCATCTAACACCAGATCTTGACCATTTTGATTCCTATTAACAAAACAACATCTAGCTCTGTTTTTCTTATTGTAACTTTGACTACCCTCCTTTTACTGGCACTTCCCAAACCCCTTCCACCTCATTGTCCTCATTTTTATATCTTTTTGGGGGGAAATCTCTGTAACTCCTACCTTTGTCCCCTCTTCCTTTCTGTTCTCCCACTCCCTTCTTTGTCATATACAATGTCACATTTCAGGTTTTCAACATCATTATCCTCTATATCCCTCCCCACATACACTTTCACCTTTTATGCATTTATCATCTCCAAATTGAGCCAACCTGTAAAATCATCTACCGGATCCTTCATTTGTTCTTCTCTTCCTCTTCTTAGGAGAGATTTTTAGCTTCGGAGCTACTACTGCAGTTCTAAATCATGGAGGTACTTTGTCTTGGTGTTATTACATAGATTTTTCAGTTATCTACCCAATGTGGCCAAGATCTTGTACAAGATATTCTGAGGGAGTTATGGTCACTTTATTTGATAGGGTCTCAAATGGTAATAGGAATTAAGTCTTTCTATTTTGGATATATTTCAGAGATTAGTTTTAGTTTATTAGTTGCCTTAGGATCCACATTGAGTGTTTAGGTTTCTTTGTATAGCTGAAGTCCATATTTAAGTTCCCTTATGGATCATACATGGATTTGTCTTAAACCTATTCCAATTATTATCCTTTTTCTTTGTGGAATTGGAGTCTACAGAGGGGAATGTCTGACCTATATATTGAGTCCATAAATATATAAGTTATGTTTTGGTAAATTGTGATTGTGGGAGCTTGCTCCAAGTCTATCTCCCCTTCTTAGCAGCCCTTTTATTATATTCTTTCTCTATTAGTTTGATGATTTTTTATTAGTAACTTTGCATTTTTTTATCAGTAACTCATAAGAGGAATTTATTAATTTTAAAAGAAAGAAGAAAAACAAGACATTGTGGAAAATACAACAGACACCAAGTTCTAGACCCCCCAAACATATTACAGCTGGACCCAAAACATACTGTCTCTGAACCCCTTGCTTAGCTAGACCATCTGCCAAACTGTTCGCAAATCTTCTAACCCAATTAACCTGAATAGACATGCCCCTAGAGTGCAATTTTAAATGCCTAAGAACATTCCTTAGATGCCAAGATACTTCACCCTTCTTTAGCCATTCAACCACTATTTTTGAGTCACCTTCAATAATTAGTCATTCAATACCCAATTCTTTGGCTTGCTCAACTCCAAAAACAGCTGCCCAAAATTCTGCAGATGCCATATCACCTTGCTCAATTGGACCTGAGAATAGAGCACGTATATTTCCATCTTCATCTCTGATAACTCCCCCAATTCCAGAGGGGCCAGGATTGCCCACACAACTCCCATCAAAATTCAGCTTCAGCCAGCCACTTGATGGAGGTGACCAGTCCACTGATGCTATCTGTCTTCTAGAAGAGGAAGCAACAATTGCTCCCCAAGATCTGAAAAAAAGTCATCAACCTGAAAGGCTGAAAACAGATCCAATGTTTTAACCCAATGAGCCACCCTTATGGTTATGATCTCGATCAAGACTTCCTTATCCCAAGATATTCTTGAATTTCTTTCCTCCCAGATAGTCCAAACCACTGCTGCCCTTGTACACCTCCACATTAGTCTGCCTCTTTTATCTGTACAACTGCAATTAGAAGGGCTAAACAATCCTTCCAAACTGACAGGAGGGAGTCATCTGTAACCAAAAAGTGAAGCAAACCAATTCCAAATAAAGCCAACAAAGGGGCAGGAGATTGAGAGATGATGTGCAGTCTCACCATTTAACTTACATAAGCAGCACAAATTGGGGGACACACACCAGTTAGGTCTCTTCCTTTGGAGTTTATTGCATGTGTTAATGCAGTTGTGATACACTTCCCAACAGAAAGCACTGAATCTGGGAGGAATGGGGGAACACCAGATAGCCTGAGCTACCTCACCTTTCAATTACCATTACCATTAAGTGTAAATGCTAGGATCACGTTCTCTAGCAGTCACCTACACCTTGTTTAGCAAAAGCATCTAGCAAGGTGTTATGTGTCCAATGAAAATGATCCCTCAATTCTCTAGCCAAGAGATTTTGGATAGTTACTATTGATGTTTTACAGGGTTTAGTCATAAACATTGTTGTCAATTTTGGTTCAGCAATATTAAGTTTGAAAGTTCCTACTTCCATTCTCTACTATTGAGAACTTCGATTTTCTGCTCTTATTTCTTCTTCTATTAATTGCTGTTATAAATTCTTCTAGTTTCTATTATGTGCTAGTTTCTGAGAATGCTGGGTTGCATCACACTCAATCCTACACTCTCATACTCTCATATTCTGTTGTGTATAAAATAATCTACCATAAAAACCAATGCATGAATAAATGAATTATCAAAAGTATGCAGAACAAACTCTGAAGTGTCTATTTGAAAAATACCTGATGCGAAGTTAACTGAAACTGAAAATTATTGAACTCATGCCAGTACCTGAAGATGAATTCAAGCAAAGAAAAGGTAGTGCTTAAAATAAAGAATTTTCAAAATAAATACATAAAGAGAATCTTAGAAATATTATACCACATGTAACTATTGTCAATTACAGTAAAAGGTATCCAGACCTACCGTTCCTCCCGTTCTTTAAAGCGTTTGGATTTTAATTCCAAATCCTTCAGTTCAGCATTTACTTCTGAACATTGTTTCTCAGTTTCTGCTATTGCTGCTTCAAGTCGTCGCTCTTCTTCTTCAACCTTTAACAGTGTTGAAAAGTCAATGAAAAAACCAATTGACATCAATTGACAAGCGAAACATTATTGATCAAAAAAATTGACAAGCGAAACATAATATTTCAGACCATTTTAATTGGCAAGCATGTTTAAGAATAGATATATCAATGGAATATGCTTTTTTTATAATTGTCAATGGAATATGCTTTGTCACACCATTCTTATGATTTGTACAGAACCTCTTTTGATAGTCACTGACTTTATCTTTGAAGTGATTTTGCCGCTATTTGTAGCCTTGCCTACATATTTAGATCTTTCTCCCAATTTATAACATCAATATAAATTGCAGAATTTGGTGCGTAAATATTATCTCTTACAACTCATTTCAGGAATTTGTTTCCCTACATTTTAATTTATCTATAGTTTTATTATTTATTCTTGCAATTCTGAAGTTCTTTTGGAGCACCTTATACAAAATATCATTATCTAGACTTCAGTGCTATTAGTGGTAATATTAGCTAATTTTCACCTGAAAAATTAAGGATAGAAGTCAAATAACACCTTTGATTTCTCTCTAAGAAAATCAGCCTCACTTAGAACATCACGTGTCTCCCCCTCAAGGCGTTGAAGGCAGGCTTCATATGCTTTAATATCCCTATTTACATCTTCAACCTCTTTGTCAAGTTTATCAGATAACACACGCATGCACTCCAGACACAAAGGCTGCTCAACCTGGCATAAAAGAAAGAAAAAAATGAAATAAAAGAATTAAAAAAAGGTAGGTTTATAGTACCAACAGAAACCATACCAAATATACTTCCAATGCAGTATTCTATGTAATAGAAACATGCATTAAATATTTAGAAAGATGAAAATAATGAGAACAAAAGAAAAACAGCAACTCTACATTAGTTCTTTTATACCTGTGTTTGAGTGGTGGCAATTTCAAATGCACGCTTCAGGACAGTTATAGTTGAGTGGAACCCAGCATTGTTTGGCTGCAAAGGGTTATTAGGGCCTCCCCCTGGAGATGGTAAATAGGTCCCACCTCCATCAGAAGCAGACTCACACTTGTACATGGAAGCAGCTGCAGGTGGCAAAACCACAAATGATTCTTCCATTGCTTTCCCACACTGACTGGCATCAGGCTGTGTAGGTCCACCACGAGGACGAGGAGGGACCCCTGGTGCATTGCTCCTTTGCTTTGGCAGCACAATAAATGAATGGTCCATCTTGGTTGAACCTAACACACTGCCCGCTCCATGGACTGAAGAACCCTGCATGCCTGCATATGTTCCCAGATGCAGTGAGATAAATATAAGATACCGAAATTTTCTCTCATGTCCAAGGGTTTACCAAAGAGTAGACATGTCCATCTTCTCCAAGAATTGCATTTCATATGATTCTATTCTATCAATGCACATGGGCAATCAGGAGGCCACCATATAAAGTGAACAAAAAAAGGGAATATAATCTGAGAAGCGAAGTTAAAAATGATATAGATGCAAAGCTGCTCTATGAATATGGGGTGAAGTGAAACTGATTTCTGCCCCAGCCCCCCCCCCTGCGGCAGCTTTATAAAAAGTATAAAGAAAGAGATGAAATCGAATATGAATTCTATACATCCCGAGAGAGTTCAAAAGTCAGTGACGATTATACTTGTAAGCTGATTTCGACGGTTTAAAGGGGATTTCGGCAAGATAAATAAGACAATAAAAGGCAACCAGGTTATTCAACTAGTAACAAACAAATCAATTAAATTTTGATACAAGTAACTACCCAAAAATAAGTAATTCAAAATAATAGGTCTAAATTGAATTCAAATAAACATTTACTAGAACAATTAAGATAAGGATACAACTGAAGCTCCACGGAAACACCAAAAACTTCCAAAAAAATTAAAGAAATGCTCCTCATAATTTCCGATTGCATAAGCATAAATATACTTAGGTTTTTATGTTCGACGTAATTTAGCTTAGAATTCGACTGGAACATGGAAATTCTATTCGATACCAAATAGGAAAAACTAAAATTTTGCATATACGAAAGCCTAAAGCAAATTGGAATGAGAATTAAGAGAAGGCAACGATTAATTTACCAATTAAGATGATAGCGAACAAATTAAAATAAAATGGAGCTTAAGCAGGATTTAAAAAAACTAAGAAACCCCTAACCAGATCGAGAAGATGGATCGTTGAAGAATTTGTCTGCATAAGAGTCGACGCCTACAATGCAGAGAGCGTGGCGACAGTTCTGGCAGACCCATCTCGGTAGATTTGGATCTACAGGGAAGCCCCCTCCTTTGCCAGGGAGATCGTCCTTCATGCTCGTCCTTTTTCCAGGTTTCTAGGGTTTCAATTATCTGTGCACAAACGAGAGCGAGAGAGATTTTATTCCTTCACTAAGAAACAAAATCAAAGTGGTTATTTACACGTTACAGTTACATCGTCGAGACCGAAATTCCTCTTGGTGACGGTGGATGACCAGTATGCCCGAATCCCATCGGATCGGATCTTCTACCATCTTTCTTGGATGGAGGGAAAAGACAGTAGTAATAATTCTCAATCAACAATCATACCTGGATATGATATTTGGCCGGATCCGGGCCCCACATGGATATGATGAATTGATGCCTTACCACAGTTGTGGCAATAGTCAATACAGTTCAGAATTCAGATTGGCGCCCCACAGAGAACACCCTACAGACACCCCGATGTTCTCAATATACGGCTGGGATGTGCTGTAGGGTGCGCTCTGTGGAGCATCAATGCGAACTCGTGGCAATAAAAAACTAAGAAGGCTAGCATGGTAGGGATCTGCATCCGCTACCAACAAAAAGCTCTCAACTGCAGTGGCACATGGGGGATATTTCCTTGTCATCCATGGAAATGATTTGGCTGGTCGGGATGTGTTGGGACGGTATGTTGGTAGCTGGTTCAAATTCAGTTTAGCGTACTTGATTCGAAGAGTTTAGATGGGCTTCCACAGGGCCCATGCATCGGAAACAACTCCAGATTCACAAGAGGAACACTCCGGATAGTGCTGTTTACAGATAAATCCAAACCGATCAAACAACCAACCCGAGTCAGCCGGGTTTTCTTCCCTATCGGTCGGTTTTGGGTTGCAAATGTGAATAAATTGATAATTCGGTTCGGTTTCAGTTTTCATAGAACTGAGTTATCTAAAAAAATATATATTCTGAAAATATATCTATTAAATGTAGATATTTTAGTTTTAAATAATAAATATATATCTGAAAAATATATATTCTGAAATATATCAGATATATATTTCCAAAAATTAGAAAATATATATTCTGATATATTTGTATATGTTTTGGTTTTAAATATATATTTCCATAAAATATATTCTGAAATATTATATATAATATTAGCACTTTGACTTCATGTGCATTGTGTGTAAGCTTGGAGTTGGTTGAAACCCAAACCGACTCAAACCGATCATATCGGTTTTACTTAATAGAGGGTCGGTTTTAGTTTAATCTATAGGTAACCCAACCAGATCGGGTCGGTTGAAAAAACACTAGTAAACTGACCCGTGAACAGCCCTAACTCCATATATGCTATCTACACTCTTCACACATAATGCAGTTGTAATGTCATGTGGGTTGGGATGTGGGAACAAATTGTGGGTAGCAATGTAGCATATCCAAGCACCAAGAGGATGGGTTGTGGCCTTACGGGCATCCTCCGTGGGGAACCCATCATGTTTCAAATTTGAAGATTTTCTTAAAATTGGATTTATCATGAAAATTGGTGATGTGAAGTTGCAATGTATGATCATCTAAGGAACCAATGTTCTCTTTGCACTTGTGTTTGTGTTCTATTCACTATTAGGGGTGGATTCGAGCTGAGCCGAGCCAAATAGTACTAGGCTCGAGCTCGGCTCGAACTAGAACCTTGAGCTCGAGCTCTGCTCGAGTCAAAAGTTCATAAGCTCAAGCTTAGTTCAGCTCATTTTATATTTTATAAAAATATTTTATTATATATTTTATAAATATTTTATTATAAAAATAAAAATTATATATAATTTTTTATATTTAAAAAATTAAGAATTATAATATTTTTATTATATATATACTATTTTCTATAATTTTATTATATATATTAAATATCAGATACATATATATATATATATATATATATATATATATTCGAACTGGCTCATGAGCCTCACGAGCTGAGCTTTAGTAGGCTCGAGCTCGACTTGTTTAATAATCGAAATCATCATTTTTTAGGATAGTACGAAAGGTTTTTTTTTAGTTTTTGGTTAAACTAATACTATTAAATATAGCTCTATGAATAAAAACCACATGGTTCAAAATAGGGTTAATGGCTAAGTGATCCTGTATATCTATATATCAGGAGTTATAATCCTATGATGTCATGAATGTGGAAAAATGTATAGTTAATTATATGTACTTTTTTTAATGTAATTATATGTATTTCTTACATACTATATTATATATTATTTTTGAAGCATTTATTTTCATTTTCAAAAATATGTATATAATTAAGGGATACAATCACACCATGTTCCCAATACAATGTGGGGATGTGCTGTGGGGCATTGTTGAGCGCCCCTTTGTGGGGTGCAGATGTGAACTCTTTTTTGAACCATTAAACATATACCACTTCAATTGCCCAAATGGTCACTTGGTAGTTGCCACCCCTCCACATAGGAGGCATGTGCTCAAATCCACATAACCATGTGCTCTCCACTCTATGGTGAACCTCAACCGACTCTACCCTATATCAATTTCCCACTAATGTGCAGTACGAAGAGAGAAAGATTGTGATGACTCTCCACTCATCTTATCTTCTCCCTTCCTATTAAACTTAAGGCTTCATTTATTGCGGTGGAAAAAATCCTGTGTAAAAGTCAGTCCATCTGTTTAAAATTTCAATGAACCGCTAGTGGATATCTAATCTGATAATCGATTTTAATATACATCGATAAAATCAATGTATCATTTACACCGATTCGATTCAAGATGAAAAAGTCAGCTAGAAAAAAAAAAAAAAAAAAGTGGTTTACATCATTTTTTTTATGTAAAGTTTACATTGGAAACAAATAGTCAAAAAAATGGACCGCGTGTGAAATTTTACACCGGACTGGGTTTGGAACCTAAATTAGTCCATTCCAAAGTAATTTTAATTATTACTTTCTATTTCATTTAATCCCCGCTCATTAAGCTTATATTTAAGGTATTAAATATCATTTTCTCTTATTAAATCCTATATTTAAGTTATTTTTCATTAATAAATGCTACTAATTAAATATATGTCGATACTTTTAACAATATAAACCGATATGTTTTAAACTAATTAAAAAACAAAACTATTCTTTACCCAAGTGGTGGGTAGGCAATTCAACCATCCAAATCAAATTGATCAACCTATGAAGTCATAGTTAGGTAATCAAAATTTAAAATAGTAATAAATATAGAAAATTACAAAAGTGTTGAAAAAGTAGACACATTTATGATATTTTTATTAATTAAATTAAAAGATAAATGTAATAAACAATAATTATTTTTATTGATAATGAAAATAAAATACATAATTTATAACCAACAAAAAATGAAATATAAAAATTAATAATAAATAGTTCAACTTTTGGGTTGAATGTGTTAACCTTTAATGTCATAAGTAAATAATAAAAATTAACAAAATATAAAAATACATAAATTTTGCAACAAAGAAAAACATTCAAGCACATGTATAATATCATATATTTACCATATTAAACAAAAARTAAGTGTGACAAATCAGAATTATTTTTGCACACAAAAAATACAAAAGATTATATATCTATAAAAGTGTGAATGGGGGGTTTGTCTTCTGGAATTTTCATTGGACAATTTTAACCCTAAATCTCGAGGTATTTTAAGAGCATTCATGTAATTATAATTTGATAAAATGCTTCACATTAGTTGATCCACAATTAGAGACTAACTTTTTGCTTTGGCTAAGAAACAACCAACTATAACTTTTGGCTAGGGTTGTTCATAAGAAGACCCAAACCGACCAAATCGACCAACCCGACCCGAACCAACTTAGTAGTTAGTTCCTAGTTAGTAGTTACAACCTACTTAGTTATTCACTTCCGAGTTCATCAGAAGGTATGTTGTAAACATTAAAGATGACCCAAGACCCATCACTCCATCAGTGAATAAAAAAAAAGTACATGAATAAATGTTTGCCTTAAATTTCAGTATTTCACCACTACTTATCTATAGTAGCAGAGAGCATCTTCTTAGCTTTTGTTGAATCCGACCGGCTTTGATAGTTTCATCCACCCATTATATAGTTTCCTGCATATTGAAATCTTACTCTAGCAAATAGTACTCTCAAACTCTGCTCCCTCCACAAAATCTGGATCCATAGATGGGCCACAAAACATTAAGGAAATGCTAGTTTCTTTTGGCAATGTAGAGCTATAAATGAATAGCAACTGAGTCACTACTACGTAGAGCTGAAACCGAACCAAACCAACTCAAACCGATCAGGTCGGTTTTGCTTAACATAGGTTCGGTTTCGATTTCAATTTTAGGTAACCCGACCAGATCAGGTCGGTTGGAAAAATATCAGTAAACCGACCCAACCCAACCCGTGAACAGCCCTACTTTTGGCGTTACTTTATGGAGAGGTTATGGTATAACTTAGGTCTTTGGCTAGAAAAGACTATTCTACTCTAGATGAAATAGAACAAGGCTCAAATTGCAATTGGCTAAAGATGCAGAAATTAAGGACGGTTTTGATAACCCAACTAATATTTCAAGGGAACTCCAACAATTAAATTTGGAGGCTGAAAAGTTTAAGGATCGATATATCAGAATAAATCAATTAATACTTTGAAAAAGCAATGGTTCTACAATTTATAAATAAAATTTTCTATATTTACTTTATACTAGCAAAGACATGTCCATCGCCATACACTTGCCAAGCCAACTTAGTAGGGCATCTATGAAGACAATAGGAAAAAAAAAAACACATATATGAATAATATAGAAGATCACATATAAAGCTGACCATAGGACCACAACTGTGAAACATCTTTTACTTAAGGGATACAAATCATAGTCTATATTTACTTCAAGAAACTAAAAAGGAATATAAATAAGTTTAATGAATCCACATCTCCCACATTTTCAGAGAAAATGATCACATTCTTTCATGGAATTGGTCAATTTTTTTATATAATTACTTGATTTTTGTGTCATTTAAATAAGCTACAATTGTGTGACTTGATACCGTTGTAAGATGTAATTGGCGAAGTGTTGTATATTTAGATGGTCCGAACCAATTATTTCATGGGACCTAGCTAGAAAAAAAGCCCACAAAATCGGATGATGAGATGACTTCTGGCATGTGGTTTTCGAGAATTTATCAAAAGTTCTAATAAAACTTCACTCCATCCAAATATATAAAAGACATAGTTGTTGTCATATTTCATTCTCCATGGATTCATGGAACAACTCATTGCATAATCAGTTAATATTTTAAATAGGAT